TGGCGGGCCTGGGGTCACAGTGGACCTGGGGTTACGGCAGGACTCGGGGTCACGGGTGGCTCGGGGTCACTGCGGATCATGGCGGGCCTGGGGTCACAGTGGACCTGGGGTCACGGCAGGACTCAGGGTCACGGGTGGCTGGGGGTCACTGCGGACCCGGGGTCACTGCGGATCATGGCGGGCCTGGGGTCACAGCGGGGCTGGCTGGCCTCTCGCTGGACGCCTCCGGCCTCCGACCATCCTGGTGGCGCCGCCCCTCGCAGCTGGCCTGAGCCTCAGGTCCTGGCGTGGTGTGGGCACTGCTGGGCCCACGGCCTTGGACCGGGAGGACTCTGACCTTACTGGGCATCCACCGGGTCCATCTGCGGGGGACAAGGCCAGGGTACACTTTGCCCTGGGCTGGCCGGGGAGTCAGCATTGGAAGCGGTCAGCAGGGACTGTCACAGTCAGGCTGGAGTGGCCCGAGTGTGGACAGTCAGGCTGGAGTGGCCCGAGTGTGGACAGTCAGGCTGGAGTGGCCCGAGTGTGGACCGTGAGGCTGGAGTGACCCGAGTGTGGACTGTGAGGCAGGAGTGGACCGTGAGGCTGGAGTGACCCAAGTGTGGACAGTCAGGATGGAGTGACCCGAGTGTGGACCATGAGGCAGGAGTGGCCCAAGTGTGGACAGTCAGGCTGGAGTGGCCCGAGTGTGGGAGGCGGCCTGGACCCACAGGATGGTCAGAGTGACAGCCTGCTGGGACATGGAGGGCGGGTGGCTTCTCTGGACAGGACGGGAAACCGGTCCAGCACCCAGAGGCTGCAGGTGTGAGGGCGGCTTGGGTGTGTGGACAGTCGTCTGCTTCGCTCAGCATCTGTTGTCCCCGCAGCCCTCCGGGCTTCTAAGCTGATTTTGGATGAGGTCTTTCTGTGTCCCACCTGTCTGTCAGGGCAATGGCGCTGTGATCCATGCTGGAGGGTCCCATGGCTGATGGACAGTGTAGCCAGGTCAGGGAGGGTAGGCTGGGAACTGGGGAGCGCCGGGGGCTGGGGAGCAGACACACCCTGTACTTTGTAGGATGTTTGGGTGAGCCTGCCAGCTTGGGGCAGACCTCATGGGAGTGCCCTCGGTTCTGGTGGGTCCCTGTGAGCTGGCATGAAGCTGGGCTGATTGGGGGGAGGGCTGATCACCACACCTACTGGTCCTAGTGTCAGGGGACTGTCTTCTGGGAATGTACCCAACCCTGTTGAGAGGTCCTGCCTCACTTACGAGAGGCCGTCAGATGGGACACCCCCTCAGCCTGCTGTCCCTGTCATCACTGTAATAACCCCCCCAATCTGCTGTCCCCCTCAGTTTGTCTTCTGTGGTTACTATGGTGTCCCTCCCTCGATCGGTATCCCTGTCATCACTGCAGTATTCCCACTTGAACTGCTGCTTCTGTTACTAATACAGTGTCCCCCTTGATTTGTTCCTGTGGTCACTACAGTGTCTTCCCCTGATCTGCTGTCCCTGTGGTCACTAACACACTCTTCTCATGTTAGCTCTCAGTGTCCTCATGCCCTACTCTAGTGTGTCCTAGTCCTGTGACAGTGCAGTAGGAGACTTCTGGCTGCAGAGAGGGTGCTCACATCCAGGACAGTACTAGGCACCAGGGACTTGTGCAGCTGGGCCGTCAAGGGTCATCCAAGTAACGTGTGCTGCAGCAGTGGAGGAACCGATAGATGAACAGGCTGTGAACAGTGTGGCCGTGGAGCAAGGGGTGGACAGGCAGTGGGCAGCGTGGCCGTGGAGTGAGGGGCAGACAGGTGGTGGACAGTGTGGCCGTGGAGTGAGGGGCAGACAGGTGGTGGACAGAGTGCCTGTGGAGAAAGGGACAGACAGGCAGTGGGTAATGTGGCCATAGAGGAAAGGACAGACAGGCGGTGGACAGTGTGGCCGTGGAGTGAGGGGCGGACAGGCAGTGGGCAGCGTGGCCGTGGAGTGAGGGGCGGACAGGCAGTGGGCAGTGTGGCCGTGGAGCAAGGGGCGGACAGGCAGTGGGCAGTGTGGCCGTAGAGGAAAGGACAGACAGGCAGTGGACAGTGTGGCCATGGAGTGAGGGGCGGACAGGCAGTGGGCAGCGTGGCCATGGAGTGAGGGGCGGACAGGCAGTGG